TCAAAGCAAGCTTGTGCAAAGCGAGCGAGAGAGAGAGAGAGAGAGAGCGAGGGAGGGAGGGAGGGAGGGAGGGAGAGAGAGAAGGAGAGGCAAACATGGCAAGAATTCCAATCAACGAGGTGTATTTCATGTCCAAACATGTCAAGAATTCCAATCAACGAGGCAACCAGGTGTACTTCGTCTCCAAGCATATCAAGAATTCCAATCAACGAGGTGTACTTCGTCTCCAAGCAAGCTTGCGCAAAGCGAGCGCGAGAGAGAGAGAGAGAGAGAGAGAGAGGGAGGGAGAGAGGGAGGGGCGAATTCCAATCAACGAGGTGTACTTCGTCTCCAAGCAGGTTTGTGCAAAGCGAGTGAGAGAGAGAGAGAGATGTAAAATTCAGCAGCTGTTTCTTTGTCGTTTGTTTGTGCACGTCTCTGTATTGTTTCCTCTGGCAATTGTCCTTAGGCTCAAGGCCTCGATCCAAGGTGCATTGTACAGCACCGTGCAATTGTACATGAACAGTACGAGAGAGTAAATAAGCTATTGTAAATGAACTTGTCTCTTGACAAGAGAGAGAGAGAGAGAGAGAGAGAGAGAGAGAGAGAGGGGGAGAGAGAAGGAGAGGCAAGCGTGGCAAGAATTCCAATCAACGAGGTGTACTTCGTCTCCAAGCATGTCAAGAATTCCAATCAACGAGGTGTACTTCGTTTCAATCAACGAGTTGTAATTCGTCTCCAAGCATGTCAAGAATTTCATTGTGGAATCACACCATCACTACCAACATTGTTGAAAACTGTAAAGAAACATTATTGTGCTTAAACAGTTCAAGGCATTGTGAGCAAGTCTGTACATCTTTCTGTCGTTGTTGTCTCCAGCGTTGTTGCCCACTTCATCGTGGTGCTCGTAGGGCATTGTCATATCTGGAGCCAAGTCGCTTGTAGGATCATTGTCCTAGCCCACCATTGTGTCAATGGTATTGTCCGGAGTTTCCGTGCTTTGTCGCGGACGTTTTGTCCCTTTTGTGTCCTCCTCTGTCTCCGACAATTCCAAATCGATTGTCCTGTCTCGCTCCAGGATGTAAGCTTTGTGTTCAGGATGTCCTCGTTGATGTCGTTTTGGGATTGTCACGTGGAAGGTATCGATCTTCTTGTCGGCCTTGTAGACCCCCACGGCCAATTGCACATCAGGTGGCAATTGTGATTGGCCAAATTGGCCAAGGTGCGCCAAAGCCATCTTGAAGATTGTATGGTGCGGGGAGCTCTCCGTGAGAGTCAACATTGACTTCACGTGGATTGTATGGCCATAGAGCCAAATCCAGCCATTCTCCCAATTGTACCTGTCGAACTTGTCGATGGCGTTGTACTGCAGGTGCATCACACGCATCTTGTTCATCTCCTTGTTTGTCATCTGATAGTCGAAGGGTGCATGGATTTGTAATACCTGCACGCTGTATCCTCTCTGGAAGGATGTGACCATCTTTTGTGACTGGTGATGAATCAGATTGTGCCCCTCAAAGGAGATTGCAATCAACACCGTCTCATTGTTCGACATTGTGTGTCCTTGCGATTGGTGGTACGCAAGCCATTGAATGGCTTCCTCGCTTGTTGGGACCATAATGTACTGCTCCCAATTTCCAGGTTTCCGGATTGAACCCGGAAGTTTGTCGATCTTGCCCTCGTCGTTCAACATTGTCCCATATTCGGTCATTGTGACCGCCGAGAACCAGTAGGTCTCATTGTCATCAAGGGCCTCTGCCCATTGTAGGTTCTTGTAGTTCTCGGGACGCAAGATCGTGGTCTCGATATTGTCCACGTTGTAGATTGTGGACCTGTCATCCCACAGTGAGATTGTGACTCCCGTGGGCAACCTGCTCTGGTTGTGGTAATCTGGGATTGTCATCTCAGTCTTTCGTCAAATTGTTCTTGAAGATCTCGATGAAGATTGTCACAGCTTGTGAGAAAAGCGGCTGCGGTCAAAGATTGTCGACAAACTGTCAACTCAGAAAACATGCATTGTCTTTCAAATTCAAAATGCAAAACTTCAAACACATTGTTCTTCGGATTGTACTCCGAAACGACGAAATGAAAGCCGGGCTTATTGTGAAACTCAAGAATCTTGTAGTACATATTGTCTATGACATAGTATGCACATAGTAGCTAAAGTAGTGTGCCATGGCTTGACGCGCCCATGTGTGTGTGTTGTACACGCATTGGTGCTGCCACGGTTGTGAAACTGTTTGTACGGCCGCTGTTCAGTTGTGGTGTTGTGGGCATTGAATGCCCGCCATGTAGAGGTGTTTGTTAAGCACCTCTGCCGAGACATACTTCGTCAGTATGTCTGCTGGGTTGTCATGTGTGCTGATCTTGTGTATTGATAGTACCCTGCTTTGCACCAGTTGTTGTATGAAGAGGTACTTCAGGTCAATGTGATTTGCTTTCTTTGATGAGCCAATTCTTGTGGCAATGCTTTTGCCGCTCGTGCTGTCAGTGTGTATGCGAATGTTCACCTTTGTTGTTGTTGTTGTTGTTGTTGTTGTTGTTGTTGCTTCCTTGATGAAGTTTGCTATGCGCAGTCCTTCTTGTGCTCCTGTGCCAATTGCGTAAAGCTCTGATCCTGCTGATGATAGTGCTACTACTGCTTGTGTTCTGCTTCCAAATTGCACCACGGATCCCATCATCGTCACGATGAATCCGCTTGTTGACTTTCTTGTGCTCGGGCATCCTGCCCAGTCCGCATCGACATAGATGTTGAGGTCGATGGGTTCCTTTGTTTGTGGTGTGTGTGTGTTGTCCTCAGGATCATCTTGTTATGTTGTGTTCCCCTGAGGTATCGCAGAAGGTGCTTCACCTTGCGTAGACTTTGTTGTGTTGGTTGTTGTAGGTCTCGTGCCAGTTCTTTTGTCGCAAAGCTGATGTCTGGTCTTGTGTAGGTCAGCCATTGTAGTTTTCCTACTGCTCTCCGATAGTCTGCATGTTCTTGTGCATCTAAAGGTTCTTCATCGTTTGTGGATTGTTTCAGGGTTGCCGTCCCTGGAGCTGATGCTGGATTGCTTGCTTCCATCTTTGTTTCCTTCAGCAGTGTTGTGATGTATTCTGGTTTGAGGCTTACCTCGAAGAGGTCTCCATTGTTGTGAACGTCTCTGCCAAGGAATTAGATTGTCTGACCAATTCCCAATGTGCCTGTTGGTCGTAGTAGTACATGCTTTTGCACTTCATTGAAAGTCTTGTCGACTTCTTGTTGTTGTCCCAGGAATAGTAGGTCATCCACATAGACCATCACAAACATTGTCTGTTCATTGTTCCTGTATACGTTGGGTTCACTTGTCAGTCGAGTCAGTCCCATTTGTTGCAGGACTTGTGCAAAGTGGTCTTGCCAAGATTTTGGACTTGATCGTAGTCCATAGATTGCTTTGTTGAGCTTCCAAACTGTGGTTGTGTTGTGACCACTTGGGTATAGTTCTGGTGGTGGCCACATGTAAAGGTTGTCTGTCGCTGCTGGTGCATGTAAGAATGCTGTTGACACATCTCCTGCTTGTATTGTCCAGTGGTTGCGCTGTGCCATTGTCAGGAGTATGCGCAGGATCCCAAAGATCGGTGTGCTCGCATAGATGTTGTCAAGGTCTTGGATTGTTTCCAGGAAACCTTTTGCGACTATGCGACATCGCACTTCATCTTGTTTGGGTTTGTTGACCCACTTTGACTCGATGATCTTGTTCTTGTGTTCTTCTGGTACATCATTGTAGTTCATCTCTGTGAACACTCCTTGTGTCTTCATCGATTGTGCCTCTTTCTTCATTCCTTGTTGTACTTTCAGTGGATCAAGACCTTCATTGTCGTAGACAAAGGGTTCTTGTAGCATCCTTTCCACTTCTGCTTC